GGCTGGCAGCTGCTGAGAGGCCCAGCTCCTGCAGTGTGGGTAGAGGGGCTGGTGCTGGGTACAGGGCCTTGGGGCTCTGCATAGGGGCTGAGGGTGGGATTAGGGTGGAGTTTGAGCTATAAGCAGGGAGTATTAACTCAGTTCACACAGGAATCTCAGCGAGATTAAGCTTCTTGTTCACATTTAGCACAGCCGTAGAGCGGGGGCTCTACTGATACTTGGATTTCAAGCTGTGCGGTGCCAAGTTCATTGTGTCAATTCCTCTTCCTCCAGGAATGCCCCAACTTCTGCCATGCTTGGAGGGGGGACTCACTAAGAGATCTGCTTACACCTCCTCCCTGAAGTAGATGGTTAAAGTGCTAAGATGCTAATGCTGCTGCTGGCACCTGCCCCCAGCACTCACCTGTGCCCAGCCCCCTCCTTCCCAGGGCGAGGAGAGAATCAGCTGAGGTGGGCTCTGGCTATCAACTTCCCCTCTTGACTCCGGACACCAAGCTGGGGGATGAGGTTCTGACTTGTGACTGATTTTTCCTCTTCCCCCGCCCCCAAACCTTCCCAGTCATCTTAACCTGTGCTCACCTTGCTGCTGGTATTCCCAGGATGCTGCTTGGGGGCTGGGTGACAGGGCTTCCATGGCCAGGCGGCTAAAAGCACTCAGCTTTCTCCTGGATGAACAGGGGATAGGCACCCACGTGAAGGAAGTATAGAAGCACAGGCCCCCTCCGAAAGAGCTGGGAGGGGGCAGGCATTTGGCACAGCTACCAAGACATCCCTGGGGATTGGCATGTGGGCGTGTGAATCTCAGTCTGCTTCCACTTCCAGCTCCCTGCTAATGTGCACCCACTGTGGGAGGCAGCAGGCAGGTAACATGCAGCTCAAGGGTTTGGGTCCACCCCCACACACATGGGGAGGCCTGGGTTGGGTTCTGGGCTCCTGGTTTTGGCCTGGACCAGCCCCAGTTGTTGCAGACACTTGGCAAGTGACTTGGGGATGAAAACTAAATAAACAGATAGAAATTTAGGGCTGAAGCCAGCTCCATAATTTAGTAGGCTAAACTTTTCTGCCTGTCACCGGTATCCCGTATAGACACAATTCCAGTCTTGGCTGCTTTACTTCCAATCCTTCCCTATTTATGGCCTGGGAAAGCAGTGGAGGATGGCTCAAGGCCTTGGGTCCCTGCACTCATGTGGAAGACCCCGAAGAAGCTCCTGGATCTGGGCTTTGGAACAGCCCATCTCTGGTTTATTTTATTTTGTCTTCTTTTCTTTTCCTTTCTTTTTAAGCTGCACTCGTTTATTTGAAAGGCAGAGAGAGAGAGAGATCTTTCATCCACTGGTTCACTCCCTAGATGGCCCCAGGCTGAAGCCAGGACCCAGTCCAGGAGCTTCACCCAGGTCTCCCATGAAGGTATAGGAGCTCAGGTACTTGGGCCATCTTCTGCTGCTTTCCAAGGGGCATTAGCAGGGATCTAGATAGGAAGTGGAACAGCCAAGACACAAACTGGCGCCCTTATGGGATGCTGACGATGCGGTCATCATGCCCGCCCTTCAGATACCTTTTTTGAAGAGGGGGTGACTTCAGACAAGTCAGTCCAAGGGGTCACACACTTCTGGCTGTGTCCTTGTCCCCTCTCAGGTCAGTCTGTTCAATGCAAGCAGCATTTTCCACCTATTTGCCATGCACCATGCCAGGTAAGGGACCACACAGAGATGGCCAACACCCACTCTTGCCCTGGAGCTGCTGCCAGGGAAAGGGAGAGTTTGTTTACCGTACCTCTTCCCAGGTGTTTGAAATACTCTGGCTCTGCCCCAAGGATGCAAATCAGTTTATGTTTGTTGATTGAATAATCGCGTGTAACTGTGACTGCCTCCTCAAGCCTGGGCCAGGCAGGACTGGAGGCTTGAAGATCGTCATCCTCCACCGGATCAGCGTGGCCTGCTTCTCCCTTCCTGCAGGCTGCAGGCGCGGCTCCCAGAGAGTGCAATCTCACGCCACTGCCAACTGGTGTTCCAGCCTGAAGTCAACGGGAAGATGCTGGGGACTGTGAGTGCCAGGGCCAGTGGGAACCTGCTAGCACTGCCATTCCTCAGGCCTAACGGGCTGTTTCTAATTTTTCTGGGAGTCTCTGGTGGGAGCAGATGTGGCTGTGGGCAGCGAGGGCGAGACCTTGTACCCTGACCCCTCACTGGGGAGCTGACTGCCGCCCCTGAGTTGCTGTAGATGTGACAACAGAGAGGGCTGTCCCTGGCTCCATGCTGGCAGGGTCCCTGGATTGCCCAGGGAAGCCGAATTAGCAAGAGACGCCTCCTTTCTCTGCTAGCCCTCAGCCTTTCGGTAGGAAACACGCTGTGTATGGATGGTGGCGGATGACCCTGGAACTGCTCTTCCTTCCTTAAAACCTGCACCCTCAGCCCAATTTCATCCATGTTCGTTCTCTATCTTCAGGTGAAAGAAATTCCCCAAAAATGGTTGATGGCCGCACTGTTATACGACTGAAAGGCATCATAGTGAAGCCCGTGCGGCGTGGCGGGGGTATAGCTCAGTGGTAGAGCATTTGACTGCAGATCAAGAGGTCCCCGGTTCAAATCCGGGTGCCCCCTCTTCGCCTTCCACTTTTTCTTTCACTGTCCCGATCTCTCCTGAGACCCACAGAAACTGGAGACTCTTCTTTCTTTTGCCGGCGGCTGAATATGGAGCTCCGAGTCCGCCCGTCGCTCCACCTGCGCCTGCCCACACGCCAGTTCAGTGGAGCGAGGCAGGGGTGCTGTCCGGAAAACAGGGGAAGCGCGTGGGTGGCACACGGTTGGCACGGCAGCCCGGCCGGCCTTGCCGTGACCCCGACGGCTCTTCCTCTGCGCAGGAGGCTGGGTGTCATACGGTTGTGTCTACAAAGTGACATTTATCGGAGTTATGATCCTCCATTCTTGAGAAACTCGTTACCACCATTTCCTTAGCTTCTATACTCACCTAGTAGGGCACTGGCGCCAGCTCACCAGCAGAGGGGGTATAGCTCAGTGGTAGAGCATTTGACTGCAGATCAAGAGGTCCCCGGTTCAAATCCGGGTGCCCCCTGCCCAAAGGGCGCTTTGGGTACATGTTTTACCTTGTCTCGTACCATTTTTTTTCCTACCCTTTCCCCTACATTCTTTTCTAGGGGCAGAAGAGATGAGTTGGCGGCGATCAAGGCAAGGAGGAATCTTCGGGCCGGAGATCCTCAAAATGTGGTTCCGAGACCAGCAAAGGTAACACGGGTGCGCGTTCGAAATGCAAATTCACGGCCCCTTCATCCGTAGGGAAATTTGTGTCTTCCTAGGCGAGCTAGCATTTGGGAACAATTGCTAATACTTTCAGACGGCAGAGCCCTGACAGAGAGACCCTATGAGGCAAACCGCGGGGCCGCCGGGATGACCGCGCCGGACGTGGAATTCCATGCAGGCCTCCGCTGGACTTTGGCGAAGGAAAGGGCCGGGAGAGCCGGAGTGGTCCGGGGCACAGGAGCCGAGCGGCCGCCGAACCTGCCTGCACACGCGGGCGTTGCCACTCGGCCTCGCGGCCGCTGGGCGGCAGCAGGAAGCCGCCCGGAGCCCTCCAGCACAGGCCGGGAAGTGGCCGGCCCGCCTCGCCTGCTGAGGGGAGCCCGGCGGCGAGGGCTGAGGGGAGCCCGGCGGCGAGGGCTGAGGGGAGCCGGGCGGGCGAGGGCTGAGGGGAGCCGGGCGGGCGAGGGCTGAGGGGAGCCGGGCGGGCGAGGGCTTAGGGGAGCCCGGAGGCGAAGGCTGAGGAAGGGGGGGGCCCGGGGCTCCGAGAGAAGAGGGCGCGTTTCATTCTTACTCCCTTCCGCCGGGCCCCTTTCTGACTGACCCCAGGGACAGGGACTCGCCTCCTCTCCCGTCCCGGTTCCTCGTTCCGGGGCGCTCTCCCCGGCGGTGCCCCTCACCCTCTTGAGGCGCGACTTTGCGCTCTGCTAGGCCCGAGCCCCGCGCCCCTTTCCCATCCCACCGCACCCCTCAGCGACCGAAATAGGTCGGGGTGGGGGTGGGTGCGGGAGCAGGCACCTCGGCGTCTTGACCTGATTCCCCGCTGTCTGTAAAGTCTCCTCAATTGTGGATATTTTTATTCTGTCCTGGAAGATTAGGAAAAAGACGATCAATCCCCAGAGCCTGGGTGAGGTGCTGGCAGGTGGGCGCGGGAATTTCCTCGCTCCGGGGTTGGCCTGGAGTGTCCAGAGAGGAGGGTGCTGCAATGACCTTGCCGGAGGCCGAGAGGTGTGTGTATGTTTAAGTGGGGGCCTCCGGATTATTTCAGAATAGGGAGTGAGCCAGGCTCCTAGAGGTACCAGGGAGTTAGAGGAAAGTGAGTTAGATGAACGCGGGCTTGATCCAGAGCCAGAAGGTGTGGATGGGAGGCGGGACATCCAGCAGGTGGAGGGAATCTGTTGGGAAGAGAGGCGGGGTGTTGGGGAGGGGTCTTCAGCTCCCCGAGGGGGTGGGGGAGCGAAACCTCAGGACCCCATCCAACTCCGAAAGCCGTGCTGTGTGAACGAGCCGGGACGACAGTCGGGGATGGCCGGAGCCCAAGGCCCAGGAAAGGGGCGCAGGTGCCTGCCTGGCGCGCAACGTGCGCAGGAGCGCGGAAGGAGAATGAAACAGGGGCCTAGTGCGGGGCGGCTGACGGCTGATGCTGTCCAGCGGGTCTCCCAGTCAGGGTCCCCACACCCGCCGCTCTGTGCCCCACTCTGTCCGACTCCTGCACGGCGCGGCGGCGGGCGCAGCGGGGACCCGTGGAGGCACGCTTTGGGTGGGCTGGGCTCGCAGGTTCCGGGCGGCGCCCCGCGCCCCGCCTCCGTTCCCGCCCCCCCGGCGCTCCCCGGCGGCCACAGCCGCAGCATCTTGGCCCGCTGGTCGCTGCCCGCTGGTCGGAGCGCCGCGCTTTCCTCCCGCCTTCCAGCTTCAGGAGCCACCGCGCAGCGTGAGTTAGGGACGTGTCGGATCCTGTCACTCAGCATGCGGGGCGACTTCTGGCTCCTTGTGCTGGTGCTCAGGGGTGCTGCCCGGGCTCTGATACCCCACCCCAGAGCAGGTAAGGACTGGTCCAGGTTGGCCCGGGTGGGCGGGCAGGTGTGGGCACGGGACACAGGCTGGCCATGGCCGTGAGCACACTGTCTAGGGGCGTTACGGACAGCCGGCCGGACACCACACGCTGCCACACATCTAGGGTGGGAGGCATTAAACCTGCAAGAAAGACCCAGGAGGGCCCCCAGCAAGGGGGTCTCTTTGAGACAAGGGGTTCTAACCTCAAAGGTAATGGATGGATGATATGGTCCCCGAGAACCCCATCTCTTCCCTCTCCCATAACCCCATGTCCCATCTGCAATTCAGGCAAGGCTGTGCCCTCTTTTCTTCTTCTGAGCCTCTGCCTCTGAGTGACCTGGGCAGGTCCGGAGTCAAATCTGGGGACACCCTGGGGGGTAGTGCAGAACGGAAGAACAGAAACAGGGCTAGTCTCATCTTCCTCTCCCTCTCTGGAGGTGGTGGGAGAGGCTGTTGGCCCAGGACCAGGCGACTGGCTGCTCCTCCAGCCTCCAGCCACCTAGACTTTCCCTGGGGTCAGGGAGAAGGATGGTTTGAAGCCAGGCTGCTTGACAGAGAGAATGAGGAAGACAGGAACCTGTGCTGGCTGCCGCTGGGACCCCTTAGATGAGCGAGGGGAGGCAGTGGTCTGGGGCACGCTGGTGTCAGGCTCAGAGTGACAGTGTTCTTAACATCACTGGTCCCCACGTGTGGCTGAGGCAGGCCAAGCTTCCTACTGTGTGCAGAGGAGTGGGGCAGGTGTGGGCAGAGAGCAGTGAAGGGACCAGTTTTCAGAGTCCACACACGGGACGGCCGGAGACTTGGCTTCTAGACCTGCCATCTGCCTTACTTGTTATGTGACCTTCAGCAAGTCACCTGCTCTCTCGGGCTTATTTCTGCCCTTCCAAAAGAAGGCTGTTAACAAAAATCCTGTTAGACTTTTGCTTGTGGGATTTTGAAGGATCTTTTTTCCTCTTTGTTGTATTTCAGGAAAGATGGGTGATAGCATGTATGGGCTGCTGACTTTTTTTATTTTTTTTTAATCGATGTAGGCAAGAAGGGCATGGGCAGGTTCATTCCTGAGGTTCTTTGCAACCCCAGACTGGTGGGCCCTTATGAACTCAGAGTGTGATTGGGTTCAGGGAGGGATGTGAGTTCTTGGGGGGCTGGCTGGGTCATGGGGAAGGTTGGGAAGGGAGATGAAAGATAATGAGCAGGGGCTGAAAGACCTGGCCTGGCTGAGGACTGGAGTGGTAAAGTCAGGAAGAGGGAGGGTGGGCAGAAACTCCAGGTCGCTGGATTCGTTGGTAGAGGCCACCCAGTAATGGAGCTACAGAAGTGGCTTTTTTTTTTTTTTTTTTGCAGTGGTGGTGATACAGGGCAAGCTCAGGAGGCTGGCAGAAGCTGGTGGGGCTGTACTTGAATGTCTAGAACCTTCCCTTCTCCTGGAGGATCTTCCAGGAGGGACAGCCTAGTTCTGGTCCATGGTAGAGCCCTTGTGACCAGTGACGGGGAGTGGGGCCTGCAGGGGTGATGGTGTCCAGATGCAAGGCTCAGGGTTCTCTGGGCTGGGAAGGAGGCCCTGGGACGTGACAAGGGGTTCCCATTCCCTTGGAGTGCATGGCTTGTATGGCCAAGCCTTGAAACTTCATTCCTCAGTAGACCCAGAGCAGGAGAGCAAAGTACCCCAGGGATGGAACCAGGCAGTAAGGGAGGCTGGGAGAGGCAGACAGCTGGATGGCCAGGAGGCTGGTCCTGGGGAGGGCTGTGGGGGCAGGTGACACCGAGGGGCTGGCTTGGACGTGGGGGCGAAGTACCTATCACAGCTGGCAGAGGCAGGGGGCAGCTGGAGGAGGGGGTGGTCCTGACCTAGATGACCTGCAGGAAGCTGGGGCCAGTGTACACCCACTGACCACAAGGATGGTCACCACTCAGGCTGGTGCAAAACAGGGAGTTGGGCCGGATTGTCTCTGGGATCCTGCTAGCCATGACACTGCATGCAGCTCATTCCTTGACCAGCGGGGACCTCTCAATGGTCCCCAGATGCAACCCTCCACTCCTGTCTGCCTTTCAAAGAGTCATCTCCACAGAGGGGCTGCCTTGATGGCTGTGTCCAGAGCAGTTCCAGCCCAACTCTTTGGATTGCCCACATGTCCTCGCGGCTGTGTCACGGCCCTGTCCGCTGAGTGTCACCGTGACAAAGGCTGGGCTCTCTGTGTCAGTTGCATCTGCCTGCTCAGTGTGGTCTCCTGCACCCAGCACACAGCCTGTGAGGTTCTCCCTGAAGGAATGAGTGAGTGAGTGAGCAAGTGAGTGAAGGGGGTGGTCACAGATCCCAGACTCCGCCTTCGGGGGACCCTGCGGAGAACTGACTCTTGTTCCCTGATCTGCTGCTTCTTTGTGCCCACCTCCCTCCGCCCTGCCCTCTGGGGGCTGTGTGAAGAGGCAGGACATCAAGAAGTGTAGCGACTTCCCTCTGCCCCCTGGAGAGCCATGTCTGGCGAGATGCTTGCCAAGGGCCCCAAGATGACTTTGCCAGGCACTGCTGAGTGCACACTACTTTGTTAAACGCAGAAGCCAGAGGGCAGTTTCCTCACCCGCATCTGAGAGGTGCAGAGATGGAGGCTTGGAGAGGTTGTACCAATTGCCCAGTGGGTGGTGGTCAGGGGTCGACCTTGAGCCTGGAGTCTCTTCTGTGGTTCCAAAAGGAAGGATTCGTGACCTTACCGCCTCCTGTGTGTCTCTGGGGGGAACCTGCAGAGACACCGCCTGCCTCTGTTGTGGATCTTTGTGCTACCATGTCCTGAAGCCTGGGGATGCCCAGGCAGCAAATGGCACCATGCCAAGGCCCTTCCAGCATTTGACAGAGGGGCTCCAGGAAAAAGGCTGAACAATAACTCGTGTTATTTGTGGAGCATATGAGTGGAGGAGGAAAGTCCCTTGGGCAACCACACAGGCCTGGGTCCTGGCGAGAGCTTCTGGGACACAGGAGGCCCCAGCAGCAAGCAGGGAGGGTTCTGCTCCAGAGGATCTGGGGTCAGATGTGTGGAGTGGGTTGCATGAGCAAGAACTGGGTCCGTCTTCTAGGTGGCTTGTTTTGGCCAGAGTTCTGGCCTAGACTAGCTCTAGGGCATGAAGGTTATGGGCTGAGGGACTACAGGACAGAGGCCATGGTGGCTGGGCTGTGCAAGGGCCATGGGGCTGGGATGGCACACTGTGATGATGGGTGGGATGACAGGAACGTGGCTCAGAGTTTTGGATGGCACACGCTGACCTCAAGTCAGCTGCATTGCTCCTTGTCCCAGAACAGGGCAATGCCAGCTGAGGGGTCTGAAGCACTCAGGACTGTTGCACTGGTCCCTGTGCAGCAGTGGGCACAGTTTCCCAGAGGAGCTCCCAGGCTCTGGCCCAGTAGCACCTGAAACAGGGCTCCCTGGGAATCCAGCCCAGATGCTAGTCCTGCCTGGGGCTGCAGCTTATCCTTGAGATAGAACCAGCATTGCTGGTCACTCCTCAGTGTGCTGCGCATGCTTCCGGGCAGTCTCTGCAGCTAGCCTGTCATGAGACCTCAGCTTGTGCCTTTGTGCCTCAGTTTCTCTATTAGTAGTATGGATCCAAAACTGGGGCCAATGTCATTAGGTGATTGTGGGGACTGAATTGGTTTTTGTGTCTAAAGCAAGTTAGCCGTCATGTTCATTTCTACTATGATTATATGACCACCTACCAAACTGTACAATGTGGGGAGCCTTGAGTCAATGAATGAATGAGTGAATGAATAGTCAGCTGTTCCGGAAGCTCCTTGCATCACACATAGGTGAGCACTCTTGCATGAACAGGTGTGCTGGGAGCATGGAACCCTCGGTTTGTGTGTGTGTGTGTAACATGTGAGTGGCATGCAGTGGAGGGCCAGGATTTCGGGAGGTTCTCATGGGAGTAGGCATGGGCACTTGGACCCTGGCACATACATGTGACCAGCAGTTGTGTTTGCTCTCCCTCATGTTGCTGGGTGGGACACAGCAGGCAGGAGGCAGATGTGGGGTAGGCTGGAGGGCAAGAGTTGGGGCCAGGGTAGGGCCCACTCTCTGTGTCCCTCACCCTGTTCTCCTTCCTGGAGTTTTTTTTTCCTGATGCTGGCGCTGAGCCCTGGATTTATAAAGCCTCCTCTGTGTGTCTCACTTGATGCTCTCAGATGCCTGTGCCAAGGGCAATGTGATTACAGCTCCATGGGAGTCATGCAGCACAATGGGGTTTAGGAGATAAGCTGATGGGTCCCCTGTCTCACTGCATATGGGCAGCAAACAAGCCCAGGGTTCCTCTTCTCGACCACCCTAGTCCTAGAATCCCGTGCCTACACTTCAGTGCCTCCTCCATGTGACCCCTGACTTCAGGTTCAAGCCTGTGTTGCCCACAGCCCTGCTGGAGCCCAGACTGGGCTGGCCAAGCTCCTGCACTTGTTCTTTACTTATTCCTTTCCTGTTCTGGGTCCTGCCTGGGTGCTGCCCTGTGAGAGGACCCGGGGAATCAGGCGGATCGGCTCAGCACAAACATGTCTGTCTCCCAGGCAGCCTGGGGCCCCACCCAGAGGGGCACAGTGGCTGTGGTTGAGCAGCGGGTAGGCTGCCTTCTCGGCTGTGGGCTCAGAGCCATCGGTGGGCAGCCAGTAGCATCCTGGGGAAGGGGTTTGGGGACTGCCCCTCTTCTCATGTTCTCCAGGAGCATCTGGTTGCAATTAGGGGCAGAGGAGTGAGAGGGGCCGGCAAGAGTCCAGCAGGCATCAGCTGCCAAGAATGACTTAATTGGATAAAACGTCTAATGACAGAACAGAGCCCCTTGGCCAGGTCCTAGCCGCAGCTCCAGGGTTGGTCCTGGACAAGCCTTGTCACAACCTCTGCCCTTGCTGACTCCTGATAATTAGACCAGCACGGTGTCCTCTCTCACTGATTACTGACTGAGCACCTGCTGTTTGCACCCTCTAAATCTGAGAAGAGTGAAGAGAATCCTGGGGGAGCTGAAGTCTCCAGGGGAGATGGGCCCATACATGGTCATACCTGTCTGTGAGTGCTCTGGGGCTGGGATGGGCTCAGAAGGAGGTTGAGAAGAATGTCTGACAGAGTCAGCCTGAAATGGATAAAAGTCACAGGTGGGGCTGTCATGTGATCTGTGTCCCATATATAAGCTCTACATCCATAGCAAGTGCGATGATTGGAGTGACAATGGAGGACACAGCTCTTGGGACACAAATCTTCCTGAGCTGGGAAAGGAAGGGGTTTGTGTTGTTCAGAATTCATGTAGCGGAAGTGCAATCTGGGAATGGCTGTTAATTGGCTTGTATATGACCATTTTCCCAGGCTGTGCCTGCGGCAGACATTATGAATTGATCATGACAATCTTCCCAGCTCAACAGAAATGGAACTCTAGATTTTTTATTTTGGTTATAGTACCCATGGCTGACACTTGCTAATTGGACACAGAATTTGAAATAAAACCTATTTGTCATCCTAGATGGTCTCTAAGCCCCTTGTTATATGGGGAAGTTAATATCCAAGGTGTTAGGAGGCAACGAGAAGACAGAAAAACTGGTTGCTAATGGGGTCAGGGAGGGACAGTTGTGTTCCCCAGGGAATATTTTGCAGTGTTTGGAGGCGCTTGCTTTTTCTTTTGAAAAAATATTTATTATGAATCCTCCAAATGCCCACAGGAGCTGAGGCTGGGCCAGGGCAATGCCAGGAATCACAGACTCCATCCAGGTTTCCCCTGTGGGTGGCAGTGAGCCACCCCAGGGTGCACATTAGCAGGAAGCTGGAGCAGAGAGTGGAATGGGAACTTACACTCAGGCACTCAGATGTGGGATACAGGTGCCCCAAGTGCTAGTGTAACCGTCACACCAAATGCTCACCCTTGCAGACATGTTCAAGTGGATCAGATCTGGGACTGGGACCTGCACTGGGCTGTGAGAGAGTGCTTCTAGCATAGCTTCTGGCAGGTGGATAGGGTCCAAGGATGCTGCTAGCAAGGTGAATGCCCAACCTTAACCAATACTGAAACAGTTCAATAAAAAGAATCCAGTTTAAAGAATTAAGCAGGGACTATGTCTGCCAATGGACCTTGGAAGGATTTCTTCATCCTTGGATCAGTGAGATCGACAGCATTGCAGAACTGCTGAAACCGCTTAAACAGAACCCTCAGAGCATGCTCCATGTCGGGGACCCTGGGATGAGAGCAGGCAGCCATTCTGCATCCCTGGGTACCGAGGTGGTTGGGAAGCTGGGTGCAGTTTCTTCCCTTATCTCTCTCATTCTCCCAGACACAGGAAGAAGAAAAGGAAAATTTGAAAACAATGGTCTCACCCACTTTCCCCTAACTCTCAATCCTTCCCACCCTGATCAAGTATGTAAGCATAAAAAAAAAAGTCTTAAGCAGACATTTCTCCAAAGAAGATAGACATTAAACACGGGAAGCATGTTCCCATCACTGCTCATTAGCAAAATGCAAATCAAAATGACAGGGTGGAGCTGGTGTGTGGCACAGCGGAGGTAAGCTGCTCCTATAACCAGGCTTGGCCCTAGCTATTGTGGCGAATCAGCTGATGGAAGATCTCTTTCCTTCACTTTGTGTAACTCTGCTTCTCAAATAAATGGATAAATAAGTCCTTCAAAGAAAAGGAAATATACTGAATGTCCATAGTATTAAGATAGAGCAGTGCTGAACCGGAAGAACCCTGCTGTCTGGCTTCTCGTCCCCCCAGGGTCCTCTGGAAGAGAGGATTGCTGCTGTTTCTGGCAGAGAATTAAGGTACTAGTTTGGAAGGTTCCAGAATAGTGTCTCAGTTGCATAGTTCACCAAGTCCAGTCCTTCTCAAATCTTTTTTTTTTTTTTGAAGAAATCCTAGTGCCAAGGCTATACCATAGAGTGATTATGTCACATGTTGGAGAGGGATCAGCATAGCATGCCAGGAAGTTATTCTTTTTAAAGATTTATTTATTTTTATTTGAAAGTCAGATATACAGAGAGGAGGAGAGACAGAGAGGAAGATTTTCCGTCCGCGTCCGCTGATTCACTCCCCAGGTGGCTGCAACGGCCAGAGCTGAGCTGATCCAAATCCAGGAGCCAGGAACCTTTCTGAATCCAGGAACCAGGAGCTTCTTCCAGGTCTCCCACATGGGTGCAGGGTGCCAAGGCCTTGGGTTGTCCTCAACTGTTTTCCCAGGCCACAAGCAGGGAGCTGGATGGGAAGCAGGGCCTCTGGGATGTGAATTGGTGCCCATACGGGGTCCCGGCACGTGCAAGGCGAGAACTTTAGCCACTAGACTAAAAAGGAGGTTTTAAAGCTCTGGGTGTTCCCATGTGATGATGCTGAGGTTGAACATGATCACCCTCGGAGGCAGCTCAGTCAGGCCTTGAGACTGTGGCTTTTTACTTGTGGGCTCTGACACCTGTCTGTGGGGTGGTGGGCTTAGGGGAGTTCTGCCCCAGCTCCCAGTGTGTGGTGGGGCATCTCCTGCCTTGGTATCTGGGTGTTGCCACACCTGATGAGGCAGGGCCTCTGCAGTACAGCCAGGCTGCTAACCCCTCCTGGGTCTCCACTCTGGACATCCAGAACTCAACTTTCTGTTCCCTCCTCCCAGGCCACAATGAAGGTCAAGGCTCTGGATGGGCTGCCAAGGGGACCATGCAGGGTTGGACTCGAAGAGCCCGTGAGAGCCCCATGCAGGAGTCAGAAACACACAGGACCCAGCTGAGCCAGGACCTGGGTGGGGGCACCCTGGCCATCGACACGCTGCCAGATAACAAGACCAGAGTGCTGGTGAGTTCTGAGCACTGTGGAGCGGGAGGGGAGTCATTTGGAGCTGGCCCTGGAGGTCAGAGTGGAGAGGGATGCCAGGGCAGGATGTGGCGGTGGGGCCCAGATGGGCTGTCAAATCATAGCCTTGCAAAAAGCATCATAGGCTACCCAGGTCTTCCTGTGGGGGAAGTGGACACAGCCTGCACACATGCCACCTGAGGAAGACAAAGCTAAAGGTGGCATTAGTCACGTTGCCACTGCCAGCTTAGGCTTTCCCTTGCCTCATATCTGACCCCCAAAAAGTCAGCAGCTGCAGGGGCACAGGCTCAGGAAGAGAGTCATTCCGGGGCAGCTTCCGGAAGGCACCTCCCGTGCCCAAGCCAGCTTGGGAGTGATGGTGCAGGGAGTAGCGGGAGGACCATCCTGGGAGGCTGTGGTCCCTGCCGCATCGGGGGAGGAAGAATAAATGTGGGAATGTGTGTGCCTCAGCCAGGGCATGTGTACATGAGTGTCTGAGTTTGTTTTTGTGTGTTGTGTGTGTCTGTATGTGTCTGTGATGGGGAGATGTGAGTGTGGGCATGTCCCTGGGCATGTGAGTTAGCACCGGGGGCTGGCAGCAAAGTGGGTAAATCCTCAGAACAAAGAGAAACTGAGACAACAGGATGTGCTTTTCAGCATTTCTCTCAGGGTTTTGTTTGTTAATATTTATTTGAAAGGCAAAGATACAGAGGGTGAATCTTCCATCTGCTGGTTTTCTTCCCAGAGGGCCACAGTGGGGAGCCAGGAGCTTCATCCAGTCTTGGGGTTCCCTCTAGTGGGAACCAGGATTTGAGGTGTGATGTTCATGCTGAGAAGAATTTGGGACACAGGGGATGCAGAGGCAAGGTGAACCAGTGCACACTTTATTGAGTTACACTGGGCAACTTATGATTTTGGCAGGACAAGCAGGAGGATAAAAGTTACTAGCTAAACAATAGCATACAAGCCACTGTAGGTCACAGGGGATTTGGAAAACTAATCACCAGGTCTCAGGCAACAAGATAAGTAAACTTGAGTTACAGGAAGCAATACCGGTAAGCAGATATAACTAGAAAGGGAATCTAACAGAACTTTATACGCAGATGCGTTCAGGTCACAATCACTAGAGGAAGAAGACATAGGAAGCCTCCCACCTCTCCAGGCACGCTTTGTCAACAAGGTGATCTCAGCAGGAAGTCTGCCTTCTGCAAAATTCCCAGTCTGCCGAGAACATTTGAGATTTGGGGTCCTCAGACATTAGTGGTCTGATTTTTAGGGGGCAATCCTTCAACAATCCAAGTCTCCCACATGGATACAGGGACCCAAGCACTTGGGCCATCCTCTGCTACTTTCTGAGGCGCGTTAACAGGGAGCTGGGTCCTATATAAGCATGGTAGGGAGTGACCTTATCTGCTACAATATAGCACCAGTCTCATGGCCTTGTTTGTTTGAATAAATGGGTTTTTTTTTTTAAGATTTATTTATTTTTATTGGGAAGTCAGATATACAGAGAGGAGGAGAGACAGAGAGGAAGATCTTCTGTACGATGATTCACTCCCCAAGTGAGCGCAACGGCTGGTGCTGTGCTGATCCGAAGCCAGGATCCAGGAACTTCTTCCGGGTATCCCACACGGGTGCAGGGTCCCAAAGCTTTGGGCCGTCCTCAACTGCTTTCCCAGGCCACAGGCAGGGAGCTGGATGGGAAGTGGAGCTGCTCGGATTAGAACTGGTGCCCATATGGGATCCTGGGCGCATTCAAGGAGAGGACTTTAGCCACTAGGACACGCTGTCGGGCCCAATGTTTTTTTTTTAAAATAAATTCATTCTGCCTTTTAAATAAACAGATCCCCCTTCCACCCCCCCCCCAAAAAAAACAGAAAAAAGGAAAGTGTCAAACAGTGCTGAGCCTGTAGAGAATATAAAAGCATGAGAGTTCCCCCTCTGACTCCACACTCCGTCCTCAGCAGGTGCTGTTGAGGACGTTCCCTTGGCCTTGACTTCTATATTTCCAAGTAATCCGTGTAACCACTGCCTGTGATTGTGGACAGGTGTTGCTGGGGACTCTGCCTCGATGACATGCACACGGCCCTCTCCCTGCCCACAGGCTCTGTGCACTGCTCACTGCGCTCACATGAACAGGGGTCGCCTTTGTGTCTTGCACAATTTGTTTCCCTTGGTTCCTTGCCAGTCATCCTCCTTGCTCAATTTTCTGCTCTTGCCGAGGCTACGCTTTCCTGCACGTCCTCGTTGCCTTCCAGCAGGATCTTCAGCACAGGCTCAGTGCTGTGTTCTTTGTCTTCCCTGTGGAAATGTCCCTCCAGGTGTCGCCTGCAGCTTGGACCAGCCACCCTCCTGGTGCCTCCCTTCCCCTCAAACTACGGCCGTCTCTCTCCTGGGTGGGGTCCCATGTTCCCTTGACCTTGAGTATTCTTGTGCCCGCCTCATCCCTCTGCTTGCTTCACACCCGGAGGAGGCACAGTTCTTTTGGGGTGGCTGCATGGCTGACAAGGCCTTTGTTCTGTCATCTCATTTGATGGATGGTTTGGCTGAATCTGGAGCTTGAGATTAAAAATAATTTCCCCTTCAGAAGTTTGACACGTTTCACCATTGTCCTCCATGTCACTGGGCAGAGCTTGGTGTTCCTGCTCCTGATCTGTGTACACACCTATACCCACCCCTTTTGGAAGCATCCAAAGAGCTCTCTGGGCCCCCAGTGCTCTGAACTTGAGCTCATTGCCTTTCTCCAAACTGGGCATTGGAGGATTCTTTCCATCTAGAGATTTCCACTGGTTCTGGGAATTCATTTTCTTCCTCCTTCCTTTCCTTCCTTTCCTTTCCCTCCCTCCCTCTCTTCCTTCCTCCCTCCCCCCCTCCCTCCCTTCCTCGCTCCCTTCTTTTTTTCCTCTTAAAATTTATTTGAGGGCCAAGCGCGATAGCGTAGCAGTTAAAGTCCTTGCCTTGAACGTGCTGGGATCCCATATGGGCACCAGTCCTAATTCTGGCAGCCGCACTTCCTATCCAGCTCCCTGCCTGTGGCTTGGGAAAGCAGTTGAGGACAGTCCAAAGCTTTGGGATCCTGCACCTATGTGAGAGACCTGGAAGAAGCTCCTGGCTCCTGGCTTTGACTCAGCTCTGGCTGTTGCAGCTACTTGGGAGTGAATCATCGGATGGAAAATCTTCCCTTCTGTCTCTCCTCTCTGTATGTCTGACTTTCCAATAAAAATAAATAAATCTTTTTTAAAATTTTATTTGAAAGGCACAATTAAAGAGAGATCTTCCAACTTCTGATTTGCTCTCCAAATAGTCCAGGCTGGAGGCAGAGGCCAGGACCCCATCAGGTCCCCCATGTGGGTGCAGGACTCCAAATGCCTGAGTCGCCCTCTGCTGCCTCCCAAGGACCATTAACAGGAGCTGGATGGGAAGTGGAGCAACTAGGACTCGAACCTGCTGCCACAGTGCCAGCCCCCGCTTTATTTCTTTGATAGTTTTCTGCCTCCCATAATCTCTTTACAGTTACTTTTGGGGAGACATCCATGTCTGGACTTGATCACTGAGTTTTCGTCTCACTTCTGTTGCCCAGCTCGTGCATTTTGTTGTTGTTATTCTCACAAAAGATTTCAACCTCATTTTGTGGTGTTGCAGTTTTCTACTATCATATTATTCATTTTAAAGAACCCTGTTATGATCTGATTATTGTTTTTCTAAGAAGCCCTGTCCATGTGTCGCGGGAGAAATATCTTCTGTCTCAGTGGATGGTCAGAATTTTGCAATTTAATTTTGCTTGCATCATCATCTTTGTTAGTGGTTTTCCCTGTGCCTCAGGTTCTGAAATGGTTTGGCATTGTGACTGATCACACTTTTAAAAAGGATTTGCTTTTGAAAGGTGGGCAACAAGAGAGGGAGAGAGGCAGAGACAGAGAGACAGAGAGAGACCTCTTCCATCCACTGGTTCACTTCCTATTGCTGCAATAGCTGAGTTTGGGCTGGTCTGAAACTGGGAGCCAGGCACTACATCCTGTTTTCCCACATGGCTGGTATGGACCATCAGCTATGACCTTCTGGGGTATTAGCAGGGAGCTGGATGTGAGGCAGAGGTGGGACTCAAATCCAAACATTTGGATATGGCATGCTGCATTGCAAGCATTCAACATGCTTTTGTTTTGTTTACCAATGTATCATCTTTCTGAAATTAAATTCAACTTTAAAACACTTCATTGAAATTTTTGGGGGAGGCAATGTGATGGTTAATACACAGTGTGACCAGCTAATACTTTGCCTGTAGCACCGGGACCTCATATGGGCAGTTTTGTGTCCTGGCTGCTCCACTTCTCATCCAGCTCCCTGTTTATTGCCTGGGAGAGCAGTAGAGTATGGCCCACGTGCTTGGACTTCTTCACCTATGTGGGAGAACAGGATGAAGCTTCTGGCTGGGGATCAACTCATCTCTGGCCATTGCTGCCATAAGGGGAATGAACCAACAGATTAAAGATCTCTCCCTTTCTGTCTCTCCTTCTCTCTCTCTGTAAAATCTGCTTTCCTAATAAAAAATAAATAAATCTAAAAAAAAAAAAAAACCCAACCTGGGCCCATTGCTGCAGCCTATTGCTTAAAGTCCTCGCCTTGAACATACTGGGATCCCATGTGGGTGCCAGTTCTAATCCTGGTGGTCCTGCTTCCCATCCAGTTCCCTGCTTGTGGCCTGGGAAAGCAGTCGAGGACGGTCCAAGGCCTTGGGACCCTGCACCTGTGTGGGAGACCTGGAAGAGGCTCCTAGCTCCTGGATTCAGATCAGCTCAGCTCTGGCTGTTACAGCCACTTGGGGAGTGAATCAGTGGATGGAAGATCTACTCTGTCTCCTCTTTGTATATCTGACTTTCAAATAAAAAAATAAATCTTCAGAAAAATAAACTTGCTGGTACATTTGGGGCTCTGCATGAGGCGAGTACCGCCTCACCTCAGCCTGGTCCAGCCTTGGGGGTGGTGCTGGAGAGGACACTGCCCAC